AGCACGGCTCGTGCGGCTCAATGCGGCTCGAGTATCAGAATAAAACATTAATTTATACTTTTTTTAATCCCCTTACGTCGTACTGTAACGAGTGGACTTTAAACCGTTATTACTTGTATAGAAATCTCTTCAACATATTAATTTCATGAATTTTAATACAAATAAAAATGATTTCAGTATGTCAAAGGTGACTTGTACACGAAAACAATTATTAAGATTGATTAAGAAGCTATAATGTGAATACCAAAGCAAATACGGATAATAAATAGGTAAACGAGTTTGTTATCAATGTTATCAGTTTAAACTTTCATTCGAGTTTACCAGTATCACGTCATGAAGAACGTAAATTCATTATTGTTGCATGTAGCAGTTTTACCACGGTCTTTGTGTACTAAACGTCCAACAATTGTTTTACTGTGAATGGATTGTATTCTTAGAACACCAATTCATAGACCAAAAAGAAACTAGTTTTCACTTAACATCCGATTCGTTTGATAGTTAATTAATTCAAATGATCTTTGAGCGATAACAGATATCTGCAAGGTCAACTTACCGGGTCAATGTCCGCCTCCCAGACGTCCTTCAGATCGTTAGAGATGTCAAAGTAACCCTCCATGTCGGGGCCGGTGTAACCTACGGCCTCCGACAGCAAACACAGTAAACTTTCCCGAAGAAAAACTCACAAAACACCGCAAACTGTCACTCTCCTACAAACAGTTGTGTCCCGAGCGGGCGGAACTCGGAAGAATGTAAACAGCACAAACAAACTGTCAGACCGCGCAAATATCACAGAACACTGTGCATCATCACAAGTTTACGATTCACTATCGACGCCCATTTGTTTTCGCAGTAAAATATTTTTTATGAAGTTTCACTGCACGCGAAGAATGTTTTTATCGCTGAGCGCGGACACACACTCGCGACGAGGTTCGACCGGCGAATACGAGAGCGGCGTCTACCTCCCCTCCCCTCTCCTAGTGCCGGCCGCCTCTCTGATACGAACCTCTCATTCATTGAGAGACATAGGGGGTTAAAACGTCACTAGGCGTTAGGGGACGGCCCACGCGACTTTACGGCGATAATTATGTGGGTATTTATCACTCAATGAAGTACGATTCGGTCTAGAGATGAAGCCGTGGGAATTCACAACGTAACACCGGAGCAATAACAAACAATCAACGTTCATATGTTTATTAAATAAATTCGTACCAATGCACTACACGTGAACTTATTTATATTGGTGACTTTTGTTTTAATATTTTCTTACATTAACCTTAACAATAAATGTATAAAATAACGAGTATAACAAATTTGTAAGAAAGCTACTTTTGTTCTTGACTAAATGAAATTTTGATGACCATTCATTATCATGTCAACTTATGCCACGATCAGCGATTAATTTGCGATGATGATTATGAATTAATAGTAAAATTTGATTATTATAGATTGTGTAACTCCATTACATCGCGTACATTGCAAAATTAATAATATTTTCCTGTGAATAACTAATGTAGAATGTACTAGTTCGATTGATTTGAATAAATACAAACATGGTAAATAACAATTAGGTAACAAAGAATATGATAATGTAAATTACATAGTTTACTTAAGTATATACGTACATAAAGTTAAAATAAATTTCAGCAGTTTGTTGAAAATATTGAATCCCTTCACATAATCTTACCTTGCAACATTATGGCAAGGTCCAGTTTCAGAAAGAATGTACAGCAACGATCGCATGTACATATAAAATCACATATTATACACACATACAGTCACATAATATCACATATTATTCTACAAAATTCGTGAGAGTTAAGAACTGTAAATTAAGTATACGAAGAAAAAAGAACGAACCGATCCGGCCTTGGTAATGTACAGGATGAAATAGATTGAAAGAATTTTGAATCGTGATACATATAGAAAATCAGTACCTACATTGTAATAAGTCATATAATAAACAAACTGCAAAAAATATCTACTTAAACTACTTTCAGATCATTTTATGAATGATGTTAATGAAATTTTTATTTCAATACATTTCGATATGTTTTTGATCGCAGCTTCGCTTACGCTAATATAGATTTAAGCGGGCAATTTTCCGAGATAAAAGTAGACTATGTCCTATTCCAGACTATAATCTATCTTTATCTAATTTTATCAAATTTTACCCAGATTCGTTCAGCCGTTATCTAGTAATTGAGTAGCAAACAGCAATCCAAACCTTCGCATTTATAATAATGATAAGATGCATCTAATTTTATTTGCCACTATTCTAAGGGGACAAACGGTTTGCACGTAGCCTGATTAGAATACAAAAAAGTGTTCTTAGCATAGGATACACCATACATAGTCAGGTGTTAACCGTGGATTAAATAACTGAAGGCCAATTCTCGTAATTAATGTTCGGTCACAATTCAGTTCCGATCTACTCTCGAGCTCACAGCTCATTAAAGGTATTTTCGTAGTAAAGTATTAAACATCCAACGTTGATTGTAATGTGATTATATCGTATTGTAACCGAACATGGTATCGGTAATCTGCTAGTTTTAATAATACTATACCTTTTTTTTTGTTTTGTGCGGAAATCCCCTCCCCATCGGTCGGATGATTACTCGAACCGATCAAAAGCCGAGGATGGAGGATCGTTCTGCGACCTCCGGCGCCCTAGTAGTCTGCGGCACCTGGCCCGTTGCCGGGCCTGGCGGGCCGGGAGAGTTCTAAACCTCTCCCAGTCCAGCTCCGCCATCTCCATCGGAAGCATAACTTGCTCGCAGAAGAAGACGGCGGAGTTCCACGCACTCTCGCTCCGTACCATGGTGGCAACTATACTACCGAGCGAGAGGACTTCCACTCCGATGGTCACCACGAGGTCACGCCTCTGCTCCAACCAGGCCGGGCATTCTGCCAACGTGTGAAGGGCCATCTCAGTGGTGGCACTCAGACGTCGGCTCCTTGCGGATCAGACACAGGTGATCTCCGAAACAACCTTCCCCGGTGATCACCTGAGTCAGCCGGTATGAGAGGGTTCCGTGACACCTCTCGAGCCAATCCTCCATAACGGGTCTTACCTCCGCAATAACGGCGTGCTGACTACGAAACTACTTAAGAGCGAGATCGAGAGTGGATCAGAACTGAATTTTGACCGAACTTTTATTACGAGTATTGGCCTTCTACTTTGAATGCGAAAAAAGTTGTAATCAATTTTAATCCATTAAGAACGCAACCAGTTATAAAAGCCCATTAATATACAACAGTATAATTGCACCTCCACTCAACTAACGTCATAACTAAAAAATTGGGCATGGCTTCATACGGATCTTAATTTCAATAACTAACGGTTGGTTTTCAGTATATAGAAGATTACATTGAGGCTGGAGCTAATTTTGTAGCTCCAACTTCTAACTAGTTCTTCTAACAGTTAATGCCTTTTTCTCGATAATTTGTTTTTTTTTTAAGTTTTTTGAGCGGAGTTGCGTAAAATTTATATACACGTAGGGGATATAAGACGATCGCATAATATGTATTTATATACCTTTTCTTGACCAGGTTACTGACCGTTGTCACGGTAAGAAAATATTTAAGAATGCTTAAAACATCTCGAATCATTATTTAACAGATGGGTAGAACTGAGTCAAAAAGATTCATACCTACAAAGAAACCCTTTCTGTTTTCACTCAACAAATATGTGTGCTTTTTTAAATATAATGGTTTTGAGAACGATAAAATATCATTTAATAAAAAACAAGCAAACTTTACAGTAGTCACATTAGCATTATATTTTGAAAAAAATAATTTAAGTACTAATTGAAAGGATGTTTTGTACCGCAGAATAATTATTTTTTAATAAAAACAGGAAACAATAAATTTTTGTAAACAACTAAAATCTTCTTTGACCGAGAGGTACATTTTCATACATAGTTTGATTTGATAATTCAGCCGATGATATCAATTACGGTATACGTCACAAAGGTACAGTCATCTTTAATTCCAGCACCCAGGTCCCTCAATAGAGCCAATGCTAGGGCAAAATCAGAGCACATCAGCCGGATTGGTTAGAGACTGGTGAGACTTCCTTCTCGAACTCGTGCATTTTGGTCTCTTGCCAAGGCTATCCAGGGGAATTTCTGTAGTCAATCCATTCCACCCCTGCAGATGGAAGATAATTCGTTGGCCCATGATGCAAAGGACAAAGCCGGTCTCCTAGGCGAACTCTTTGCATCGAACTCGACTTTGGATGACGGGGGAAACGTACCGCCGACCATACCGCGGTACCAGAGCTGTTAGCCGGAAATCCGGTTCACCCAAAGACCAGTGTGTAAAGCACTCTATTCCCTCGATATTCAGGGCCGACTAAATCTAGTCACAGACACAAAAGACACAGGTTTGCGGGTTCACCGCAAAAAAGATACCTTTTGTCGTATCACCTCTGTTTGAGGGCACCTTCCCAACTGCCTTAGCCAGTATCGGAATTCTAGGCATGGACATATCGAGCGAAGTCCAGTTTCGGATTGATTTAGTATTTTCAGGCATAGGCAGTATTTCACTCCGGCCCACCGCCTCCAACTCTATAAAGCGCAAGTCCGGTAGCATATGAAATACTGTTCTCATCTCTATGCAGTAGCACCCTAGTAGCTTCTCCCTCTGGACCGCATCGGACGAAGAGCGACACAAATCGTCGATACCCATCTCCGATCGGCTCGATCCCTTGGCGTTACGTAGAGATGTAGCTTCACCTTGCATTCAATACCGTATATATCATGGAGAGTGCTCTGAGAAATTGTTTGAACAGGAAAGATATTACCCATAAAAAAACTATCGAAATATATCCTCCTGCCATCAATTTAGGTTACAAATCTGTTTTTTTTTTTTAGTTTTTTCAGTTGGTCCCTCTACAAACTTAACATAGAAAGCATAACTAAGAATACATTTAAAGGATGGATAATCAAAATAACGGGTTTCTAATACTCAAAACTCAGTCTGTTTAATAATATTTACGTTTACTTATGACCATTCCTTTTAGGCGGCACTACAAATAATGAAGGGACGTGCGCCAACAAAGCTGATATGCCTCCGTGGAGTATACACACCTTGGGTACCCCGCACTTTACTAGGTAATCACTGAACTGAAACAAAAATAACGCATTAGTAATATGCAGTGCGAAGCTGTGCATAAATGAAGAGTTTAAATATTAGTCATCGCTATACTTCAATGAAAAAAGTGGGCGTTGCTCCCGGTGACGTAACTTCAGTTTATGGCATAAAGGATAAACGAGCAGACGGGTCACATGATGGCAAGTGACTACCAGCAGTCACAAGTGCGTGCCCATCGTCCGAGCCCGTGCCAGCCTTCATACGCCGAAGTATGGCAGTTTTTCGGCCATTGGCAACTGCCGAAAAAGTGACACTAAAATGCCTAAAAGACAAAGTGTTACTAAAACGTGTGGCTTATATATTTTAGAAGCGTAATAAATTATAGCCGAAAATTACATAAATACGTAGCCTGAAAAGGTAATGACTTAAATATGACATCCTACGAGTATAATGTTAAGCAAAATAATTACATGTGATGTCTTACGCGGATATAATAGTGTCTCTGGTCTAGTATGTTAGCCAATTTATTGTCAACCTTTCTAAAATAAAAAATGACGATTCTAACTTATTATCATCGATCATCGACAGCTTTTAAGGGTCCACTGCTGAACATAGACCTCTCCTTAGATAAGAGGTTTTGGCCTATTATACCACCCAGACCAGACTGGTTGATGTAGAGTTTGTTTCAACAGTCGTCAAATTGTTTTTCTGCCGTTAGGTTTTTCCATGATGTTACTGTCATCGTGAACAGGATAAATCGAAATAGCGCAATCAAACACGAGTTCTGCATTAGTACGTACTAAGTACGTAGCACAAAAGGCGCGTAAAATTAATGTCAAAACGAGTTCCATAGTCAAGTAAGGACGAGTTTATAAAGATTAATTGAAAACCATAGCGGAAGTGGATTCCTCTTTAACTACATAGAATATAACTACGACATCAGTATCATTTTATCACTTACGTTGGTAGGGCCGACGTAAATGATTAATTGATACTGATTCATTTACGTAAATTGGAAAGATAAAAAAGCTCGGCAAGCATCGGTGTTAACTAATCAAACAAACGCAAAAAATCGTTCGAAGCAGGTCTTTTTTATAAGAACGAGTTGACCCTTGTTTGTATCCACATCTATAAGTAGATATGTATGTATGTATATGTAAGTCATGGATAAGTTGTTATGTTAGCTCTTAAGCTTTTAGCGTAATGTTTCAATTTTACCAATATCATTTGGTTTTCTTAAAGCTCTCAATATTTTACAAAGTTTTGTTCAGACATCCTATATTAAGGCCTGTCTGATGAAAGGTAATCATTGTACTCTTTAGAAATTTAAAAACATAATATAAAAGGATCCTCCTTTTATATTTTGTTTTTCACTGGTATCATCAATGGCATTTTTTTTAAACAGGAACGCTGATTTCCGTTCTAAAAATAAAAACAGTTTTTTTAAGTTATTTTTGTTTTTTCACCTTGTCATTTTTATTTGTTACACAAATGTCAGCGGTCACTGCAGCGCTGAGCGTAACCCTGGGCATCTTAAACACTCTTCAGAGAACAGAACAATTTTAAAGGAATACACATGAAAGTTAAAATTAAAAATCCTGGAATGAATTTCTTCGATATTTTCGCAACAGCTTCGTCACAAATCACAACAATACTTTAGCGAACCAAATACTACAGAGAAACGGTGAATATAGGTACTCATCACTCTTGATAGGTAAGAAACCGATATAGGTATCGGTACATTTTACAACGCAGTTTAAAAACATTTATCATTGCCACAGGTGTCTTTAAATTGTTCGCAGCAAGTCAAGCATTTAATACATGAATTATAATCGAGTTTAAAAGTAAATAAAGTTGTGTAAGTAAGGTAATTTTTAAGGTGAATATATAACTAGCTGAAAGAACTCTCTGAGGAGTTATTTCAGGAATATTTATAAATTTTTCTGTTGCCCTATTTTTATAGCCGAATTTTAATTTATTACGCTTACTAGCGATCCGCTCCGGCTTCGCAAGGGTTCAATGTAGATACTACTAATACTCCTAATGTGGTGTCAGTGTGGAGTAATTAATTATGTGCGTGAAATGTTTTAGAATGTTATATATTATATTATATTAATTATACTATTATCATGATGGGACTATTCTGCAATGCAATATTTATAGTTCCGCTCCGATCCTACCGTCAGAGCAGAGCGGACCTTTGCACATTTTAAACCTCTAATATATTCTAAAATATTAATTTTAATAATATGCTGTGAAGAGGAATTTTAATGTACATTAAATTAATTAAATATTTAATTGAAGAAGGAATAATAATGTGTTATATAAAATAGCTATATAAGATCAAAATGGTTAATGTGGGTTATCCTTAGGAGATAGACATATTATACCATGGCGGACTTTTGTGTAGATCTTTTTAAGATGTACAATTCCGTAGTAGATTATTTTGGTCTATCTCGTAAGGTTTAGCCAGTGTTTGCAATGTAAGTGATTTTTTAAGACAAATCTTGCACGTGACTGCACGGATGGCGTAGTGGTTTAAGCGGTCGCCACGCCGCTTCCTACTACACCGAATGTTGTGGGTTGAAACCCCACATGGGACGACACTTTGTGTGATCCACAAATTGTTGTTCTGAGTCTGGGTGTTCTTTGTGTCCGTTTCATGTATGTTTGTAAAGTCCTTCGCGACACAGGATATATTCCTTCCTAACTTGGGAGTTGTCTTATTTAAAAGGAAAAAAAAAGAAAATTTCTCGGCTTGTTGTGTGTGCTGTAACACAATGTCTAATTATTTTTATAATTATTTGGTCATATAAAAAAGTACCCGTGAGTTTGGTCCTACTTAGGAAGCCGGGATGGGATGTGGATTCGGTCGGTAAATTATTTAAGAGGGTTCTAGCTGCCCGCATCGTCCGGGACCTTTGCGACTCGGTTTTCGAGCGGGGCGTTCGCCGATCGACGCTGTATTGCGCCTCAGGACCATGACCGATGAGGCGGTAAGCCGTGGCGGCGTGCTGTTGGCGATGTCTGCCATTCAGCTGCATCAGAGAAAGCACTCGACTACCACGGGGTGCTCGAGTACCTGAGACGGCTAGTGGCAGACTATTTAGAGCAGCGTACCGTCGTGTACGTGGATGGAAATGGGTTTTTGGTGTGGTCGGCTGTTACGCTGATGACACTCTAGTCTCAGCCCAGGAGGCGAACTTTCAATACGCCGCTTTCGCTTGCGCCGGTTTCGGCCGGGCCTGATCCTCGAGAGTTGGTTCTTCGATTAGCACTTTCCATAGCTTTCTCCAGAGCTGGTCGGCGATGCGTCTGCTCTTGGGTGACTCTTACCCAATTTGGGTGGATCCAGAGTCGCGCCAATACGGCTGTACGGCGGGGGGTTGTCGGCCCAGGTGACTCAAGTCATTTTTTTTTTTTTTTTTTGTATATTGGCAGACTCAATGCCCAAGGCATTGACCACGACAATGCAAGAAAATGCCTACAACACTTAGCGCAGTAGAAAGTCGCGAGGTGACCGCTCAAACCACTAATCTGACAGTCAGTCAGATATGAAAGTTACATACAAGATATATTTTAGGACTCACCAATTGTGCTGTCTCATCTTCTGCAGAAGCCACTACCACTATCTTCTTTAACTTGATAGCTTCCTGCAGTACTCTTTGAGGATGTAGGCCTAATGCTCTGAGCTCATGTTGACCGAGATGTACTCCACTGTACGGGACATTAATGCTGCCATCAATGCAGCTTTTTTCATATCTATTTAAAAAAGGGAATAAATAAATTAATCTCTCATATCTTTCAACAACGATTTAGCCCCACTGACGGTAAATAGGATGACTTTGGGACTAAGACATGGTAAATATATGAAGAAGAGAAGATAGTAAAAAAAAAAGAGATACTAGTTTAAAAAATGTGTTAAAAAACTTGTTTTTAAAAAACACCTCGGGATAAGCAGTATATTATAATAACTCAGGTAGCATCTTTTTATGTAGTATCAACTGTTGGTGGGAACCTCGAGCCCTACATTAAACATTCTCGATGTAATGTTGACATATCACTATGATTCATTCGCGTTAAGAAAAAAGTGACCCATTGATCAAGTCCCGCACTCTGACTAATCAGGTTCCAAGCTTTCATACGAAACTATAATTTCTTGTCACTATTTTGTAAATGTGTTAGAACAAGCATTAAAAAAATAACAGATAATTGTAGAGATATACTCACAGTAAATTGGACCTTATATCGATGACGCAGCATTTATCTTGGCAGATCAGAGAAAAGAAATCTGACAGACTTATTCTGGGACAAAGCTCGGTAAATAACACCTCCATTGGTATTTCTACAATATCCTACGAACAAGAAATTATATAACTTATTTGTATGAAATTAAGTGTTAAAATAACATAACTACGAGTTTTAGGATTGTGTCATACGACGACACATAAGATATTTCTTTCACAATTTCATAGTCTTTTTTCGTAGTTAACTCTATTCTGTCTATATTCCGCCAAATGTAATTGAGTTAATTTTTTTAATATAAGTAGATGACTTTAAACGAGGAAACAGTTCACCTGATGGTAAGTGATAACCCCGCTCATGGACCCCTGCAACCCAAGGGATGGATACAAGTGCATTTGATCATTCTCTCTAACTACTCCCCCACCTCCTATAAACTCAGGCCTCACTCACTCACTCAGGGAAAAGCAACGTAACATAAATCTCACTCTTGGTACTAGGAACTCTAGGAATTTTTTGCAATGCCTGGAAAAGGCTTCTAAGTTGGGACTACTACATATAATATTATAAGATCATTGATGTACACTTGGTTGGCAAATAAAGATTTTATTTGATTTGATTTGATTTGAACTCTATATTTTTGAAGTCATCGGTTACAGAAAAAGTTAATTTTATTCCATTATTAATGAAACATAATATAAACTTACCATGGGGTCTTTAACTTGTGCCTCATTAGTAAATCGTCTATAACTTATACTTCTTGGTGAACTGCGGCACATATCTATTGATTCCTATAACAAAATATCAATAAGAATGAACATTTCAATGACGTAGGTAATTAAGAATATGCGAGAGATACTCTATAAATCTTAAAAACCTACAGTAGATATATACTATATTTTGAGGTATTGCTAACTTTTGCAATTTTTATCAATGGTCTTATACCAATACCCAAAACTGCTATTCAAATGTAAAGAATTGCTTAAATTTCAAGTTAATTTTTTACATAAAAATTGTAAGGCTCCATTTGAAATAGAAATAATAAAGTTTATCATTTAAACTTTCCGTTTTTATTTTAAAAAGACACAAGGTAGAATAAAATCAAATACGCAGATGTAGTTAAGGTATCTAAAGGTCTCTCAACGCAATGCCATCAAAAACAGAAAATTATGATAAGTGTTCTGTGAAAATTGTCTTATTACAGTCATTCACCTTGACACACTACCAGGTGTCAATGTGAATAATAATATAATGATTATGAAACGAGTGAAGATCGTGAATTTATCCTATATATTATAATGTGGGTACAATAAAATATAACTAGCAGATTATAAACTATAACTACCCTACATGAACAAAAACATTTTTTGCCTATTTAAGAGAATTATATTATCTAAGATTTCTATTTGAAAGAAAAGGTAATTGATCAAAACTCGTGAGTAGCATTTATATTACTAAAGAATATATTGGTTTCCCAAGGTGTGTATTTCGTGGATTATTAATAATATAATGATAATCTTTATTTCGATGATAAGTACAACGATTATAATAAATTCTTTACTAATTTATAAATGAAATACCTTTGTTGTTTACCCAAACAAGTTTTAACCTGCATCTCGGGCGAAGAAATGCTTACAAACAATTTTACCAATATAAATCTACATAACCACAATTTAATAAAAACATTTTAATAACCGACATAAGCAACTAGCAGTAGCAGTAATAAGTGGGTTAAAATAATGCACTAAGACAGTTCAGCAATTTTTTTTTATATTTCAAGTAACTGCTCAGTTTGCTCATACGATAAAATTTGTAAACAAATATAATATGTTTTTACAGCTAACATAATTTAAATTACAAATACTTAGCTCTCTATTTAATCTATTTTATAAAAACCCAGAAAAAAAAACATTTTGAGCCTGATTGTGAGGCACAGACTACGAGTATATCTTAGCGTCTTTAGTTAGTAATATTAGTTAAGTAATGTGTGTTGTTTTAGTACTATGTGATATATGAAAATTTTGGAGGACAGTCATTACCTTGCATGCTTTATATGACGTAGTTGTGGAGAAAACGGAAATGGCGGGCGGTGGCTTCTTTTACATTCCAGAGGCATTATAATAGTTTTAGTGCTCCACCTTATGAGGTTTTGCAATATTGGATGATCAGTTGACATAAAGAGAAATACACATGGGTGATCAACTTTAAATGTGCTATAGCTCTAACTTTTTAAATATAGAAGTTAATTTACGAACTCTATTTACTAAACTTTTAATCTTTGCTCTAAAGGAGAGGGTATTTAGTATCCATTATGATCCCTAGATATTTTATGTTATAGGTTTCCTGGATTGTAGGACAATTGCACAAAGTCACTGTCAAGTTTTGGTATGGCATGGTATTTAGATAGGACCTTTATTTAGATGTTAAGCTTCTCGGTTGGAGGTGTGAAACTAATCAAGACAATTAAAAACAGAAGCAAGAAATTGATGAAAATTAATTATCAATTATTTTTATTCAGTTCATAACCTATAAACGATAATTGAAATCGTTTATGCAACGATGTATACCTTTGGGAATGCAACATCTACCACGTATTTGTACCCTTGATCTGGTATGGAAAGTCATAGGTAATAAATTATAGTTTAAAAAGCAAACTAAAAACACGCTTTTGTAACTAGACGCTTTTTTTACTATAAAATGATTTTTCTTTTCGAACTTATGGGAAATTATTTTCTACTTTTTTGTTTTTTTAAACTAATTTATTTTTGCTTTTCCGTCATTAATGATGATTATTTTCTCATTAAGACTAAAAGAGTAACAAGTAAGGAAGTAACATATGCTTCAGCTTACGCCTCTTTGTATGTAGCAAAAGACACTACTGTACTTTTAGGTATAAAAAAACCGTTAATTATTGTATTGTCAAATTTATCAAATTATTGTATTGTCATCATCGGTCCTTGATAAGTGTGCGAAGTTTCAATTTAATTCGACGTTTGAAGTGAGTGAAAATCACGTTCGAAGATTACGTACATTCCGAACATACATACCAAGCTCATAAAAGCGTGTTAAAATGTAAAAGGATAACAGACAAACGCACATTAGAAGTTATAATATTAGATAAGATACTGACCTTAACACATTCGCCAATATCGATTTCAGGCAGATCGGAGAACAGTAAAATACATTCGTTGAATCCTGATGATAGTAGAGTATCTCTCAGCTGCCTCAGTATACCGACTCCCATAAACAATGGTAACGCAGGACCTTCGACTAGCAAGGCATCCCATAAGTGCACGATTTTATGTAGAGGAAATACATCTGTGAATTAAGAACAATTTATTACAAGTCCATAATCGTGGTAACGCGTATGGTAACGATGTAACGCGAGTGAAAACTTATACGCGTTACACGCGCTCAGAGGGCCTAGTTCAAGATTATTTCACATCAACTCGCTCTAGACCGCGTTTAACGTTGCGATTGGTGAAGATTTCAGTGCGGGCCAATCGCAGCGCCGAACGCGATCACCGTAACGATTTAGTAGATGTGAAATAAACTTGCACTTAGGGCCTCAGTACGCATAATATTTACTTGTCGAAGTACAAAGTTTATACATCGACAGCTTTTTCATATGGTATAAGGTAGCAAACGCGCAGACGGGTTACCTGATGGTAAGTAACTACAGCCGCCCTGCAACTAAAGAGTCACAAGTCCCTCCCACGAGAATCAGGGGGAGGGGAGAGGAGTTTGAGCTCCGGTAACCTCACTCACTCGGTGAAAAGCAACGAAAGAACTGCTTAACACCGGTTTTCTGTGAGGCTGAGGTGTCACTCCGATCGAGCCAGCCCATTCGTGACTAAGCTTGATCCTCCCACTTCAAAATGTATAGTAAGCTTAAGTTATACCTACTGGCTACGGAATAAACGAATAAATGATTGGTTTTAATAGAAATATTAGGAATTCTGCTAAATATGCACTCTAAATTCATTACGTACTATACAAATAAATAAAATTGAAGTTTCTGTAATGTCATAATAATAGGTTGTTTCATGCTCACACGGTTATTTGCACGAAATATTTGTATATTCAATGGCAGATCCAATCAGTAAGATTTTTACGTAATATTTAGAACACCAACTATCTGAATGTTTACCTTTACATAATACACAATAGTTACGTAATAATTGTGAGTAATCTGGTTTCTCAATATGTCACAGACCTACATAATAATTATCAGATAATTATGAAATAAAAGAAATAGGTATTTTAATCATTTTCATTTTAAGAATGTCTTGCCTATACTTTCATATCGCACATTTTCTCAACTATTTGCATAGATTAAAAAAATACACTGTAATGCAATCGGGTTCTCGACTCTTTTTTGACAAGTGATATTATTATTTTTAAGATTTTATCTTACTTAATTTATTGTCAAAATCCACAACTAATTTCAAACAGGACCACTTCTGGCAGGTCCACTTGTATTTACAAAGGCAATATATCCCCGAATTCATCTAAGATTTTTTTATGGTTCAATTTCGTTTTATTATCTTGTTAATAACTTTGTGCAATTTTTCTCTTCTTATCATTCCTCAGTAAGTCTAGTCGACATTCATCTCAAAGATTTTTGTCGTCTATTGATTAGAGAATAACCTTCGGCATAAATGGCGCTGCTATTATACGAAAACTAAGCTACAACTATGTACAAATAAATGGATTGGACTTACGTGAAAACATAGTCAAGAACCAAGGAATAGCAAAGAGTTCAGGAACGAAGTTGATATCATGTAAGTGCGTCGCCAGCTCCGGCTCGTGGAAGGCGGTCATCTGCCAGAACTTAGCCAAGTACTCCTTGATGACTGCACTGTTGTCTTTTAGGAAGAACTTGTGTAGGAATTTTGGGACGAATGCGGACAGACAGGCGAAGGCTCTTGCTGTTAGAGGCAAAAGCATTTATGTTAATTTCGTATTTGTTGAGGACCTGGCCCTCAATTCTGCTATTTGATGTTAACACCAAGCCACTGTCATTCCATTGACACGCTATTGAGATGCCATTGACATTGGTCAAAATATCGGTATCCTACTAACATAAATTCACAGTGTCAATTCAGACTCTCGATATAGTAATATAGATCATCAATGGTGATATGAACAACATTGCCATATCTGGCAAATTAAATACATATGTATCTCATTTTCTTACAAATTCAAAATGTACGGTTTATCAAACTATTACAAAGACATCGACGACATTTGTATCAGTGACAAGTCATCCCAGGGAGGCCATGTGTCTTACATAGTTAGTAGAATAAGAAAAATATTAAAATAGCAGAATAGGGAATATGCACGTGACACCAAAATGGACAAAATATTTTTATTTGTAATTTTTATTGCTAAAAAAAGATACCCATACTATTATTTTTGAAATTTATTATAATTTAATAGTGAAATTTAATCATCAAAAATTGGCTTATTAAAGATTCCCTCGTAAATTTCTAAAACGCAACGCTATTGGTTGAGTAAAACATGACGTCAACCTACACTGTCAAGAGTGTCAACAAGTTCTGTGTATTTGTAATATTTGGTTTCTGGTGATTATTTGTTTCATTTTAAGTTAACTAATACGTTTTCAGTGTTAAATTATTAAATTCGCGTGTAGAAAGACTCAACACAATGACTGAATATACTTTGTCAGGTGCAGTTTTGATATTATTTGGGCATAAAGGAACGGCACAATATTTATGATAAGTTTTTATTGGCTTTTCCATGGTAATAAGTTAATTTTTATCACTAAAAAAAGTGAGTGATAAAAATTTCTTTCACAAACTTTGTGAACTTCACTCCGTTTTTGACATCGAATTCGTCTGAAAGTGTAATCTGACGTCACAAAAAAGCACGCCAAAATGGACGTGTTCAAATTGCACCAAAATGATAGTGATTTTAATACATTTTTTTTTGCTTAACGGTTTATATTTCGGATGTGTTATATTTATTTTTGGTAATGTAATAACTAGTAGAATCGTTTAAAAAAATAAAAAAGCTCATGCATATTCCCTATTGAGGCCCTGGTGGTCTATGTGCAAAATAATTTATTAAAAATTAAGTAGATTTTACTAATCTGGCTCACCTGAAGCTCATTAAATCAGTGCGTGTCGTTACGTAAGCGTTGACTATGCACATTGCCAAGACTAATGAGGTTCAAAAACAATAATTTTTTAAGGTATAAGGAGGCAAACTAGCAGTCACCTCACCTGATGGTAAGTAACTTCGGTGAAAAGCAACGAAAAAAATGCTTAACACCGGTTTTCTGTGAGGCTATCCGACTCCGGTGGAGCCTGCCCATTTATGTCCCTCACGACTAAACTAACTAATAGTAAGCTAACTTTTGATGGAAAACGGTTGTCTTTTGCAGTTTAAGGCAACTCTGCTTTAAGAAAAAATCTTGTTAAGTAATTCCGTAAGCATAATTTTGGCACCTTCATTTGGCCCTTACCATTTAATTGCGTCATCGATAAATAAGCAATTGCCCAACTAACCAGGAAAGAGATAGATGTTGTGGTGGTATGACTAAAGGGGTGCTAGCAACTCCTGCGCATAAGACGCAACCAAACATATGCATGTAGATGCATCTTACCATTTTTTTAAAAACGATTACGCGCAAATATAGGAGCTTGCACAGAGCGCATAAAACGCTATAGTCCCCGCCCCCTAACCAATCAACCATGAAATTAACATTTCGTACGAAAGCTTAGAACCTGATTGGTCAAGGTGCGGAGCTTGATCGATACGTCATTATTTTCTTAACGTGAATGGACTGTAGTTATATAGTATAGCATATAATCAGATTTATAATCAACCCACCTTCATTGCAGAAGTTTAAATATAAGAAGGGCGCAGTCAACGAATCCAGTCCTTGCCAATACACGTACTGAGGGTTGGTCAACAGCCACGCTTTGAGCAAACGTTTCAACGTTCGGTGACCAGCCGACCCGCAAAGTAGCCAGCAGTACTGGTGGCAGCGAGGGATATCGACATCTATCTGTCAAAGAATTATAGAGTTTGTAGCAGTTGCAAAGGGTATAAATTTAAATGCATTCTTCTTCTCACCTAAGTCAAAGTTATGGTTTTTTTTTAAATGTATTTTTTTTCCCTCATCCACTATTTAAAAAACAATAATACTGACCAAATGGGGACAGAGTGTGCAGCTTCTCTATACGTAAAATATGCATATGGGTTTATTTGTTATGGGTTAGAAGGTTTATTTCTTAGTAAAAAAATCCATCTAATGTTTTCTTTTTGTTAAAAGCTTTAAACGTGTCCTATAAACAAATGTATAATCAAGATTATGAATATGGATACTAAAGTAGCAAACAGTCTTATAGCTAAGTACTAAATAAGTAATACACCGGAAAATAAAAGAAGCTTGCTTTCACCGGTAACTAAACATTATACAGACATTGGACATTGCTGACTTTGTATTAAAAATTTAAATGTATTTTATTTACGGTAACTACCACAGTGAGTGAGACTTCCATTCAATAAACACTATACAGCTAAACAATAAAAAAATCGTATTACTATACTCGATACTGTACCTGCCTATCAGTTGGCGTGGGAGTTTCCTTATCGATCCTTTCATACTGCTCTTCGATGTCGCCCACGACGCCCAACAGAGCGGCCCACACTTGCCCACGAAGTAGAGGTGGTATATCTACCTCTGCTTCAGCGCGGATGTATGGAGCAGTGTAGGGATATCCCTATAAATAAAAATGTTGCATTTAATTTTCGTACCCACATGTTCTTTGAGATATTAGAAAATTAAGATATTAATACTATGTAAATAGAATAAATATATACCTAACATGTTTTAATGACAAACATTTGTCTATTGCCAAATAGAATGAAAGTGTCGCATTAGCGATATGGAAACTTTTAAAACTTAAGCATTTAAAAGCAAATACAGGCTCTTTCAAACGCAAAATGTTATGATTTACTTAGGAAATGGGCATCAAAAACATTTTATTACAAGAAATTAAAAAGTGAAAGACTGAAATCTATGAACTTTTCACTTAGTCATTTTCACCATTTACAGAACCTGTCTAAATAGAAATAACCAAATAAGTTATATATACCTTATTCTAAGAACGCAAGCAAATCCTCATTTTTAATTATAGCAGTAAATTCTTATTTACAAAACACTTACATGCAAAAGTCTTTGGAACCAAAGCAACCTGTAAAACTGATACTCGGTATCTCTTTCTCTGATAATCTTCGGTAACGTCACAGCATCATACTGTTTCCTCCTCTCATGCATCAGCGGGTAGTAGTCATGGGGGGGTATATGACTAAGGCGGGACTTAAGAAGGCCCAAGCTGTATTTGGCAATGCGACGGTCGAACAACGCACCAGATTTCCCGCCTATCGTACACCCGTCCAGAAGTATTGCTCTGGAATAAAGATGACTTGTATTATTCCTTCAATTATTGGCTTAAAGTAAATACTTGAAGTCAATAATTAAATTAAATAAGCGTCACACACTTTAGTGCTCCTATATCATCACGAATTATGATAAACTGTAATGTTCATTTTTTAATTTTCCACCCTCAGGGGTGGTATTTTATTTTAAACTTAAATAGGACCAAACTTAATACGTTATAAAATGCAAAAAGAATTCGGTTCATAAATGACGGCATTCTGAATTAACAAACTTTTAAAAAAAAAACCTCACCATCCCTGCCCCTCCACTCATAATGGGGGTTGGGGATGCATACGGGGTTGCCCCTACATAATAAAAAAATGCTAGTACATTTGACTCAAGCGTTCTGTTTATATACGCGATTTCTTCGTAAACGTAAACGCAAACTTAATAAACCTAGACTTAATGTCGCTAATATTTAATTCAACTACTTCCGTGACGGTTGGTTCTAATCGAACTGGGGTTATAGTGCCAGTTTATTTCACATCAACTCAATCGTTGACGGAAACTCGCATGAGACCCTCTGAACGCATTGCAAAAGTGTAAATAGACATTCACAATCTCGCAACAATCGCGAGGTGCGAGGCGACGAACCCGAGACAAGGCACAAGCCGAGAGTAAGCTATAATAATTGAATGCATGCTGACAGACATGCACCCGTTAGTACGTATTTAACCGTAAAAATATGCTTATTTTTACGATACGGTATTATTGATCACATTATTCGTTTGACTTTGTCAATTAAAAACAATATTTTTTATGCACTTCAGATATTAGCACTGCTTTTGTAATAAACTTTCTGAATGTATATTAATGTTATTAGTCATACTTACATAGGCATTGACAAAATAGGTGGACTATTTTTTATCAAATAATTCTTTTTTAATTCGCTTTGTATGTCGCCACCGGCCAGCTGCCACCAATAATACAAGTATTGTAGTTTACACCCCATCAAGCCACGAGGTGCTTTGACTTCCGCCACGAGTTTTGTATCAACCCGTGATAGCATTTCAATGACATCATCAAATGTTGCTCTTTCATTTGGATAAATGCTAAGACATTTTTCAATTACGATCTTTAAATCCTCGGGTATTTGCTGAAATTATTTTTTTCTTTCACAATAAGTTTACAAATACATGGATTTGAAATTACTTTATTATTTACAGAAATTTTAATTCAAATCAATTTTCACTTTGCTTGCTTGACTTATAAAAAATTAGGCCAGTTTTTGACTGAGTATCGCTTGGCTATTAGTTAACAGCAAATGTGGTTCCGTAAGTTATTTATTTATTTCAGAAAATAAATCTTCTGTGTATGTCAACACATACTAAAATTTCACAACAGAGTGGTCGAAATGGCAAATCTAGCTAGACTGAGAAGAGTACTACAACCAGGATTGCTTTAAGATAGAAGAAATATTGTATATCAAAATTATTATCTAAATATTTTACTTTTACATACTTTGTATTGTTCCAAACAGTCATGTTCTCTAGCTATTCGTTCTGCAGGATTACTGGCATGTACCAGAGTAAGTATTCTTCTTAATATTGGACCTGGTTTAAGATTATTCCACAATTTACCAATACATAACTCGAGAAGAATGATACCAAAACTCCACACATCTGCAGCAGGTCCTCCCCCATTTAGAATTGTTTCTGGACTTAGATATCTGGGTAATCTGAAATAGTTAAACTTTGTATTAGTGCAGGACTGCATAGATTAAAATGTGTCATCAATTTCCTAACTGGCAAGATTGTGAGTTCACTCTAAAAGTCCTCATATGGTAAAATAACATGATAAACAAGTTTTGATTATCCCAAGATGGTTTGACATGAGAATAGACATTTGAATACAAATAAGTAACCTTATAATAATCTACTTTAAATATATAATTAGGCTAGTAGTAGTAGGATATGCTTTGTTTTGAAAAGTTTGTGTGACGGTGGTACAATAGGGAAAGCATTAATTCAACATGGGTAAACAAGCTTGCAGCATTTATAGTATCCTTAGTAAGCCTGGGGTAACTGTGTTATTTAAAAATTCTACTAGCATATAAGGGTAGGAAATATATATTCAACAAATGTCAAAAGTAAAAGGCTTCAATGCATATCCCTTTAAAAATAATAATAATTACTTTCCACATATCACACACGGCAGTCTGGTTCCAAGATAGTCAGAGTGTGTATTATGGTAACCAGACTGCTGGTTAACACGTACTGTAACTAGAGGGGTGTCAGTAATGCCTAGGCGCAGGATGAAGACCCTGAAGGGGCATAAAAATAACCAACTCTTTTTATAAAAAATCGCAAGTTATGATGACCTGAAGCTTCAGTGGTCTCTTGTTAGAGTCTCAGTTAGAGCCAACAACATCATTTAGCGAAAGTGAGGACAAATGATTCATTAATTATTTATAGCAAATTTTGAACTCACCCCAAAGGAAATGATACTTCACTACCTCCACCAGTCATATTATACAGTCCGTAATTAAACAACTTAACTCTTCCATTACTATCAATAAAAATATTATCATCTGATAATGTCCTATGCACTATGTCTTGTTGATGAAGGAAGTTAAGACCATTTGCAAGTTGTTTTGCGATATTTGTTATTTCATCATTTGAAAACTTTTGGCTGCATTCTTTTAATGATTTTCCAATTACTTCAGCCACAACAATTATTCTTTCTAAAAGAAATAAAAAAATTAAACAGAATATTATAGTGTATTGATAGAATTGAAAAGTATAAATTGTTAAGTTGGTATGCTTCAAAAACTCAAAAGTTCTGCACCGATTTGGCTCAAATTTATTTTACCTGTTAGTTTTGATTCTCACTTTACATCTATGCAACCACAATATGCCACAGCAAAGTGTGACAGGGTACAGCTAGTCCTTAATATTTCTCCTTATATTGGTACTATTTAATCAGTTTTATAATGAACTATGAGAAAAACATTGTACTATGATGATACTTACCATGTTTGCCTCTGATAACATCAAGATATGTGCACAAATTGGGATGTTCTATCGTTAGAAGTCTTTGTGCTCGTCCTAATATCGTAATAGAGCTTGGGGTCAAAGGTAAACCATTGCTCCCACAAGTCTCTCCTGGATGATTTTTTGCAAAATAAGTGCATGCACCAAACTTATAATCCTCTTCATTGTCTTGAAACATCATACCGTGTATTGAAGACAAAAAATCCTCGAGTCGTGAAATGTATCCTATATTTGTTGTGTAAGAGTTAGATATTACTGCTGTTTACTTGTGGGCGTAGTTTAAAAACAATAAAAGATAGTGACTTTACAGTCTTATTAGAATATATGATCAGTGATAGACCGGAATGTAAACATCATTTTTGACAAACGTCACATCTAAATAACGTCAAAAATGACAGTCGTTAGCATAGAATAACACGGTAGGGAGAAGCCACCGAAGGCGTTCTCCACTGCCAAAGCATATGTCCACACGGTCCTATGCGTACAATGAAACTACTGGACCACTAACAAGGCTAAATCTAGTTGCGATGCTGAGTAGACGACAGTAGCCATCCTACAAAATGCCGAAATGTTCAGTTTTTTACTTTAAAAAGAGATCTGACCCGTCAAGTTTTTAATAATAATAATATCTCACACAGCCCACTCACGGCCGTCTAATCCCAAACTAGGCAGAGCCTGCACTAGGGTAACCAGGTTCATGAACGCCTTTGGCGCCCTCAGAGGTTATTGGCGGTTAGAGCCATACGCGGTTACCGCACCGTTTCGAAGGAGGCGGCGTGCTCATTGGCCGGAACACCCCCGTGGGATTTGGAGGCGGAAGTACTCGCCGAAGTATATCGGCGGACGGCTGAGTTCTGGCGGATACGTGAGGCCGCTCGCCGAGCCACAGTGGCTCATTGGTCGTCTCGGCTGGAGGCTTCACTTGCAGCGCCGGGTTCTCATTGCAGTCATAGGGAGGATCTCTCGCTACCGGTCGTCATACGCTCCATGGCTGGTAGTGACAGATGATTTCCGCCGTCGCAATCTTCTGTGAAGACATCATCTCGCGGAAGGAGTCGGCGAAGAGCGCCCGGGAGGATAACACCCACACGTAAAAAAAAGGGGTAACCAGATTGCTGATAAACATACTTGTATATTTTTAAATACTCAAAATAAATAACAAGCAGACACAGAACAAATGACCCCGCTAATCACAATATTGGTTTGCAATAACTATTTATTAGTGTTGAGATACTGACTCTTGTGTCGTGGTGAAAAACATGTATGATTGGGGTTAGGCAGGTAACCATATTAATTTGCAGTTATCTTCAAATAAGTAGATGAAATAAAATAGACCTGTGTACGAAACGAAACCTTTTATATAAGATATTCATGGAGACCCTAAAAAAATTGTTAGGAAATTAAAGAAAAGTTAATAACTACGTAGATACTGTGTCTTTTTATGACAGGATTATAAGTACATTTAGTATAAATATATACAAATATGGATGTTTTATGTTCCAAATTTGTTCACAAGTAGGTCCTCTAATAAGTATATGAAAGGCAAATCTATTTACCGAAGCGTCTTAACTGAAGAGCCAGTTAAAATGTGCCATATCTCCAATTTTCTAATTACTGACTCTTTACCCTACAAAATTTAATAGACTTACTACTAAATGATGAAGAAATTGCGCATAAATTGAAAAACTGCTTCTTTGAAAATGATAATCTGTTTGGTCTGAGGAGCCACATTTATAATCTATGGTGGCTTTTTTAATTTTAACATTACCCAGCTCAGATTTTGACTACTCTCAAATACTACAAAATCATACTAAATTATGATAAATATACCATATAAGTGTAGTACAGAGAAATAAATATTGCAAGAATTGTATGTCCGATACTAAAATCTTTGATTGTTTAATTTTAAAAAAATACGACCTTTTTAATTTTATATTTTTGACTACCACATCTGGCAACATTGGAGGGCTGACATTTTCAGATCAGATAAATGTCTAAACGATTTCAAGTCAAGGTGATTTGATTTCAAGCGAATTCTCTTATGCTGTCGGTGCTATTATTGCAAAGAACGCATAGGAGATTTCTAGAAGTTAAAAAAATATTCACCAGAGTGCCATAATGATAAATTAGATGCGGTGAGTCTCTGCCTCAGATACGTAAAGCATGCGCTTAATAATCCAAACTCTATTGACTTTCTATTTTTTTATGCAGTCAAGTCAGAAACATGGCTTGTGTTGAGAATTTAGCGCCAATAAATGTTGATTCGGAGATGGAGGAAGGAGAGATAGTAGATGATCTCTCTGACATATCATCAGAGGAGGAGTTCCTGTTGCGTCAGCGACTAGAAGTGTTAGAGAACTACAACAATGTCCTTGAGCGTAAGAAAGCTAAGCATTCTTCAATTGGATCAGGTATCGTAGCTTATCACCGTATTTGGAGTTCTGTTCACTTTATAAACATTGAAAGCACAAATTTCTTATGTTTTACATTGTACTATAAAGTTGTCTGATCCCTTTAACCTTTGACCTAGTTGTAGTTGCACCGCTATTATTATTTGCAAGGAAAGATTTGTTGTGTTTGTACATTAGCTTCTCTTAACCATAGTCAAAAATGTTGCACAGCAATAAATTTGCTTATTATTGCATTTTTTGATAATGATAGCACTTGAAGACAGTTATGTTACTAGTATTTCCTGATTATTACCTTAGAACCTATTCATTTTTGAGGTAGATTCGAGCACATCTTAAGATTAATTATTTTGTATAAGAGTGTTATAATTGTGTGTAAATGGCTGCTAGGGATACTGCTCTTTCACATATTTGTTATGTGATAAACCATTTAATTATCTATTTTGGTGGAATATGAGAGTTGTAACATATACATGTAGGAGTACATCAGGATTAAGGACTCTTTAAGTGCTCAAGACTTTCAGTGCAGATCTGATCAATGTGTACTGATCAGTTCTGTAATGAAGCTCTTCAGCATTTATGAGTCCTTAATCCTGATGATAAGGTTTTAAAATACTTCTGATAGTCAAACCAACCCGCCTCAAACATTCAAAATTGACAATTTACTAGTATATTGTTTGTTGTTAATTCAGATAGTATAAAAATGTAAGAAAATAACTGATTTAACATGTAAATAATCCATTGAAAATACTATTATTTGAATTAATCCTTATAAATTAATGTTAATGTAATTAATAAATTTTATCTGTTAAACTTCTCCATCAAAGGAAGAAAACATGGTAAGCTTTAAGTTTATAAGTGTTATTCTGCATAATCTGTTTTGTAGGCACATAGAGTGCATTTGGTAACATTTTAGGTAAAAAATATAAAAAGGAGAATATATTATCATATGACCTATCGGAAGTTTCTGCTACTGAATTGGAAGATTATTGTTTACCATACAAAAATGATCAAGTACAAAAACCACCAAAAGCACACCACAGACAGAAAAGAAAAAAAGAAGAGTCAAGTGTTGTTATTAAAAATAAAGAACATAAAAAGAAAACTAGTAGATCTAAAAGAAAATTAGAAAACAGAAAAGGTTTCTGTGAATCCAGTGAAGAGGAGATTACTGATGAATGTAAAAACAGGAGAAGGAAATTGGCAGATGCTGTAATTGTAAATAAACCTAAGAATGATAAAACATCATTGAGCGAAAGACTTCAGAAAATGCTTCATGGTGTTAATCCAGAGGCAGTGAAAATAGTTGTCACTGAAAATAGTACCATCAATCACAATGTTATACCTAAAAATCCACCTAACCATTCCCTGATCTTGCAGAACACTGATGAACATATGCTATGTTCAGAGATTCCAGACAATACACAAGAAATTAAAACATCTTGTGAAGTAATAGACATCTGCACGGATGATGATAGTAAAACAGGTGATAAATTTATTACAATTGATACAGTAGATGCAGATGTTAAAGAAAATGAGCCTGGGAATAATATTCAGAAAATCATAGACAGGAATAAAGATTCTAACCAAGATTCTGATGATGATTTAGAGTTGCTCAGACAACATGCTCTCAAAACAAAAATGGCAAAAATAAAGAAGCTGGATGAGAATAAAATATCGTCAGAGGATGAAGATAGTGATACCACAGAATTAAGGTTAATTTGTTTAAAATCTGCATTACTAAAGAAGGCAATTGAAATGAAACGAAAACAAAAGTTACAAAAAAAATTATCTCAGTCTTCCAACCTGCAAGATGATACATTTGACCATATTATGATGGGCGAAAAAATTAATTTGGATAACAATACAGATATTGAATCGGTTGATATGGATATTGGTTCAGATGGAGATGAGAAACTAAAAGAAAATGATGGAGATTTTGTTAAAAATACTGAGATAGAACAAAGTGTTCCTTTGGAAAACGACATTCCTGTTTTAATGGTTACTAAGCAAGATGAACTCGAAGAGGATGAAGACTTATTAAGAGCAAGATTGTTAACGTCTCTAAGTAAAAATTTACCAAACCTGGTCAATCCCAATGTTGAAAAGCCTGTTGAAAATGTAAAAGACAATGTTATTATTAAGCCAAAGCAGCAAAAGCCAAGTGTCATCCCAGAAGAAAAGAGATTTATAATCAATGTTGAATCAGACTCTGAAGGAGAACATGAGGCCACAAAGAACCTGACAAAAATGCATATGAAATTATCAGAACAAGTAGATTTTCAACAGAAGCTTGATATGTTCTTGAAATCCACCAGAATGGAAGTAGAAAAAAAAACAACGCTGCCCGATGTAGTTCAGCAGCCAGGACTGCCAAAGAAAAACGAGAAATTTGTTGCTAAGGTCTGTGCATGCTTAATTTATCAGTGATTCGGTATGATTTTTTCAATCAACAAATTCTTATCATCAATGTTTCTTGTAGGCCGTTAAAAATTTGCCAAAGTCAGAGCAGATTGAATACAAAAATCTGGTGAAAAGGATGGCAGAGTTAGAAAAAATCAAGCAGGCTCGACAGAATACTATGCATTTAAGTGTTAAAGTACCTGTAGCTTCAAAGGATACATTAAAACCGAGAAATGTAACATTTGATGCTTCCAATGTGACCACAATCAACAATCTTGAGGAAAAAATTACAAGTTCAAGGTATGTCAATTGTTACGTTTTCATGTTAAGAAATTCCATTTCAGTTTTTATGGTAGTACTTTCTCAAATATGGCTTTTATTTTAGAAAGCATATTGCAGAGGAATCGGCGAAAATGCTCAAGTTGAAAGAAGAGGGAACTAAACTGTCTCAAAGGTTTAAAATAGTTGCTACAGAACTCCGTAATATTAAAACTGCTATAGCCCTTAATAAAAAACAGCAAAGATCTGTTCAAAACTGCCTATCGAAAATAAGACTGCACCATCAAATGTTACTTAAAAGGTATTGTTGTGATTTATATTGTTATTTCTTGGCGTTTTTTATATCACTTTGTGGTTATGGTATATTTTTACACGTTTTTTTAATATGGGTACTACACCTTAATAAACCATTACTGGCCTTCACATTTCTAAATATTACTGATTTCACTAAAAAGTACATTGCTGCATAAATGGTGTAATTGACGTGTATTTAATTGTTGTGTAATACATCTTTATTATAAAAATGTTAAGTTGGTTTGTGTACGCTTCAAAAACTGAAAAGTTGCACAAATTGAGCTTAAATTTTGACATGAAATACAAACTGCTTCAAAGATTGATTGATTTTCGCGTCATTTTAGTTACTTATTTCTCATCAATGCAATCACAATGTGACAATAGGGAAGCGTGGCAGGGTACAGCTGGTTATACATAAATAGCATACTAACAGAAAAACGTACTTCCTTGGTAAAGAATTTATTATATTTCTCTTTACCCCATAAAACTTACTTATGCTCAAAATAAGTTAGTTCAGTCATAGCATCACACTGGGCAGCACATGCACAGTCCCTTCACTAGTGGTTAACTTACAATGTTTGAAGAGGTAATGTTTTACCTGTGCTGTTCATGAGTTGAAAAAAGGCTTTTCTTTTCTTAATACGCATATGGTGCACGTAATATTATCAAGCATTCATTTGTTGCTTTTTCTTTGCAAATCTTTTTTTTTCAGCTCACTAAGTTCAACACATTCCAAACCAAATACCATACTGCATTCAAATCACATTAACCCAAAGTTACAAAAAGAGAATAATCCCAAAGATCATAAATCAGTGGTATGTAAAGATATTTCCATAGAAAATTACAAGAACCCTGCAATGCTGAAAGCTATTAAAATTGGGTTCAATAATGATTTGAAACAACAAAAACTAGAATGCAAGCCACAGCCTCCTGCAATACAGCCTGCCAAACTATCTGTAGAAGTTAATATTACCAATAATAAAAAAGTAGTGACAACCATAAATCATGATAGTGGTACTGACATAAGTCAAGCAAATAATAATATGATGGAAGATTTACTTGAAAGTGTAAGGCATTCAAGTCATCCTGTCGTAGAGAAAGGCGGAGGGACAATGGATATTGAGTCTTGTGCCTCAGAGAGAGGAGCTAGTGACGATTACAAATCGCCTCTCGATGCGTTTGGCAGTAGCACGTAAGTCGACATATTATATGGGCATGATAAATGTATTATATCATAACAATTGGACATATTCTTATCAGTTAAACGCAATGCAAGGTTTTTTGATAAGGTGCTTAATTTTTTACAGTTTCATGTATACCTATGTGTGTTTACTGTGTATGTGTGTGTGTGTGTCTGTCTAAAAATCAATATAGGTACGCAAAAATTCAACACCTGCTTGTTTTTGAAAATCAGTTTGAATGTGTAATATTTCATTTTTACTCTTTTATAAGTTAGCTATTGAGTTACATTGTCTGCAGAGATAAATTGCCTTATTATGTAAGTGCTTTTGCAGATATGTGATTTACTTATCTTGAATTTAAGTGCATGCTTTTGTACCGTGTGTACCTGATGTTTTTGAGCACTATTGACGGGGTACATCTTAATCAAACATGGATTGGGATCTCAAAATAAAAACATAATGCAAGTTCACTTCCTAACTATTTAAAATTATATTTTCCAGCTGGCAGGCAGATCCGAACGCGATTCTCTGCCCTTTTGAAGTTTGCGGTGACTGCAAGGACACCGATTGCAAATACCTACACACTATAACACATTCTACATGACACTACCAACACATAAGTACATACACGCTTAGTCATAAACATAAACACAGAACAAATTTCTCCCTGTCCCCTTTCTCCTCTCGTCGGCCAAGGAATCTACAGCGATGTGTAAAGTATACATCTCTTTTCAAAAATTAATTATATTTATAGTTTTTTTTTGTTTGTAGTATTTGTCCTTATGTAATTATTTGCTTAGGTATATTTATAGTGCCATCCGTTATGGTCAGAGTTCCAAACTATTCCATTACGTCAATGACAATTTCCGTAACATTTATCTTGCGAACTGTAAAATGAGGCCTAGTATTTTAATTTGGTAATCCCATCCATCCATCCATCCGTGACGGATTAAGAATACAAATTGTCACCACCCCAATTCATCCCGTGGGTGTCGTAAGAGCCGACTAAGGGAGCAAACTAAGCAGGACAACAGCACTGCAAAGAGAAGGAAAACTTGAAAAAACCCTATACCAACCCGTCTGGCCAGCGTGGTATAGTAGGCCAAAACCTCCTTTCTAAGGAGAGGCCTATGTCCAGCAGTGGACTAGTATAGGCTGTTGATGTGATTGATGTGTGATCCCATAAAATCAGGAGCTATCTTTAAATCACTGCCATTTAATAAATTTATTTTTACTTTATATACTATTTTGTTAATTGGTCAGTGGTTTATTAATTGTTGGTGATAAATTAAAGTTGTGGAAAGTATATTTTTTTAAATTATGTTTTTATTAATAAGTTTAATTTTTTTAAAGAACGTGACTGATTTTTATATTTTTCTTACTTAAAAAAGGTCTTATATTCTATTACGAAAAATATTTTATACAGAAAATCTCAATAAACACAAGTGGAACTTTGTATGTACATATATTATGAGCTAAGTGTATAAACAGGGCAGTTTTTATAACGCCCAGGCAATGTGATAATAATGACTACTAAATTCTAGGTTGCAGTTAATTAGTACGTATGTAAACTTAATGGTTAAGCACCTTGTCGGGCTATTATGAATATTTCCACATGTTTGTGGAGTAAGGTGATGGTTTAATTATTGAGGTAGTGTCCCTAAGAAACACTTAGAATCACCATGATTATTTCCAAACACACCTTCATCTATAAAGTCTAGAAATCAGTAAAGACGATCGATTTGTATGGATTTTAGTTTTGGGTTATTGTTTATAACACAAAACTTTCTAAAAGTTAATTTAATATTAAAAAAAACATACTTATACTTATTTATGTATAAGTTTTACATATTTGTTTATATTTATATGTTTTTGCACATTATTCAAAATATCAAAATAATTCAATATTGATTTATTAATCGGACTTCACCCGACCACAGTATATAGGCGTAAAAGGTTAGATAAGGACGATAAAATTCTTATAACTGACTCCTGCTGTGTTTAAGTTACATGAAAACTATTACAAAATATGATACAGTTTTTCCCTTTCATTTTTGTTGACAGTGTTAAATTTATATCTTTTTCATATGAACATATCTATTTGCATGTCTCTCCTGCAGTGTGAAAATAAAGGTGAAGGCATTGTTGAAATACATATGTTTGCTGTGATTTGGCACCGTTTAATGTGATGTAATGCAATTTTAGTTGGCGTTGGATCGGGGCCCGTCGCTTAGCCGCTGTGGTAAGTTACGCGTAAGTTTATAATAGTGCATTAGTTGTGCTCAGGACTCTGATTGTATCAATACGGAACTACGAGACTGCAATGCTGTGAAAGTGGGTAATATGTTTTGTCTAGCGTTACAAATTTATATTATTTTTATCGAACTATAAAATAATGTAAGAATTTATAAATAAATGGTTAATTATTGTATATCGGGTTTTATTTGTTGGTAGAAATAAAACAACCTTTAATCTTACAAATAGAGATATTATTCAGAATTGTAAAGAAAATAAAAGTAATATACCTCTTCACACAGATACATACACTTAGATAAAAATATGTACGTATATTTTTGGATTAAAATTCGATACAATTCATAAAATCCTCGAACAGACGGGGCCATTCTATTGAATGACTACTAATAAGTATTTATATTATTATATGACAGAATAACTGTGGGCACGTTTAGGACAAGTACAGGAGCTATTAGAAGTACATCACCACTATTTCACAATGATACATTAAATTTTCAAAAATTAACATTTTATATAAAATTTTATAAATTCATAAGATTTTGTTTGGTGTTTCCAAAGCTCAAATTCTCCATCTCGAAAACTGTTAGGACCATCTTAAAGTATAACAAGAATAATTTCACTACTATTATAACTTTTATTAATATTACTAGGTACATTATATAATATCAGAATACATGGAAAGAATAGCCCACAGTTGAGACTGGACAGTAAGGAAGGCATGGAGTGTAATACAATTTACGATAAGTCTTTATAAAGGGATATTTATTACAGATATTTATTAATCTACATATTCGATACCTACGTCACGCCTCGTCTGCTTATCATAGAGCGATAACAGGTAATTTGGTAGGTATTTAGTGTTTCGTACATTTAAGTAGTCACAATGCTTGTTAACGAGCTAATATAGCAAAGTGACTATGACTATAGTACAAAGTAGGCCTGCGAAGATTTACAAGGGTCGCTACGTACGTATTTCTGCATATAAGTCTTTGTTCTAAAAAAGATCATTTACTTACGTACTGAAAATGTTACGCGCGAACAGTAAATTACAGTACAATAGCGATGTTCTCAATAATCAGAAATGTATGTTACGTTACAATGTAAAACTAAAGTACCTAATAAATTTTAATGATGTAATAAAATACATATCGCTTGTAATATGGCTCCTCATAGAACTGGCTGCCCATATATTGACTACTGCATCGTGACTTTATAGTGCGATTACAATAACATTGAAGCATATTATACCTTATTAAGTTCTACAAGGTCAAACAAGGAATTTTGAATTAATTTCAATTATAGTAACAAGTTACTTGCCAGATTAGATAGGCAGAATTTGATATACTTTGTGAAACGGACGAAAATAGGTAAAAACATAATAATCACGCAGGTTGATTGGTAAACACAATTGGCAGGCTATCACAATATTCAATAATACACTATTCCTTTTAACAACTCAAGTACAAAGGTGTTGTTAGCAAACGACTGAAATTATTACAGGTAAGGTGGGTAGGTGTCCATAAATTTAATAAACGGGCCTACCTTTACATATAAAATGTGACAACTACTCACGCTAAAATAAAAAAAATACAAGTTTAGTATAATTAATTTACTTTCAAAGAAAAAATGGTATTATAGGTACTCATGTAAACGATTGTAACGGCAAGAACTGTCATAGAGAATTGTCTGGATTAAAGGGGTGACTAGGTGACCGTTCATCGGATAGGATAGCTTATGTGTCGTATAGGCTGAGAGACCGTCATCATGATTCTATCACGGAAGCTATCCCGAAGGCAAGCTTTTCATACCTTAGTTGAGTGCTCAGCGTGGGCCTCACGACGGCTATCGCTACGCCCGCGGTGATTAATATTAAAGTGATTGTCTAGAGATGATGGTTTAGGTCGATCTCTTAACACAATGTAAAGTAAGTATACAACGCTAACTAATAAAATATACTTAGCACTATCTTCTGAATTTCATTCTTATGTTTAATCATGACGCACCGTTACGATAAAGAAAGAAACCTATTAACTTTACCGTCACCTTAAAGTATCAGCAATGAAGAACTAATAATGTTTGAGTTAAGTTCAAACTTAGGCACGAAGTACCTATTCCTATCTCCTTGAACTAGAGAAAAGGAGATCGAACTAAAAATAAATCCGTATAAAACCTATTGAATCAAAAAGCGTGGTCTAGCCGGATTTAACGATACCAATAGGCAATTAAAAAAATATTGGTTATATCACGGTAGCTATAACAATTAAACTGACGAAAGTTAGAACTTACACACATTAGACTTTTTAATTTGCACGGAACTTACTAGTTACATGTACAGTGCAAACTCCTCAAAGATCAAATCAACAGTTTTACGACTTGCTGTAAACATACGAGCATAAGTAGTGAGCATCGGGCTGCGAGAAACGGACGAGCGCGTGGACGAGTTCCGGGGCGAGTCTATCTGAGCGTGTGCCACATGGCCACGGCCTTGCGCGTCTCGTGCGCCATCTGCGCCCAGTGGCGACCCTCGGCGCCCGCCTCCGCTGCGCCCACGCAGCACCACCCAACCACCAGGGCATTGCCTCCGCCGCTCACCACGCACACCTGCCGTATATACATATTAAATAAGGTTCGATTTACATCTAATATGGTAGCCAGAGTCTGATCAGATTTTTCTGTATTTATGGAATTTATTTGTAGCTATCTAGCTCGCTTTTGCCCGTGGCGCCGCCCGCGTGTATGTCGGTAAAAATTAGCCAACACCCAGGGACAATATACATTTCTAACAGTGAAAAAATGGCAGAATCGGATCAGTAGTACCAGAGATTACCCCGAACATACAAACTCACAAACTTTACCTCTTTATAATATTAGTATTGATGTAAGTAACTAATATAGTTATTCAACAGTAAAAAAATCGTAGGTAATATTTACTTCTCCCTTAATTAAAGGGCCAAGCCCTTGTCGACAAAGCAATCGCCAGCATATATTTACTGACATGTACTATAGTACATGTCAGTATAACTGTTTATATCTATAGATATAAGTTATGGGTAGGAATATTCTAATCTGCGATATCAGTCGATTTTAACACACAATTGCTGAAAAATCCTCTAGCGGAAAAAAACTTGCACACTTGACAGAACATGACGACCCGAACACACATGACAAGATCTATAACTCTGCAAGGAAACCGTAGATACCTGCTGTACTACGTCTACTATGTGTAAAATCAGAGAAGAGATATTTTATTTGAAACCGACCATTTGTAAAACAACCAATTACGAATCTGATAATTTTCACAATCTAAACAGTTCCTAATCTACTTTTCTAATGGTCTCTATCTGGAATCTAATGGTAAATGTCCACCATCTAGTTCAGGACTTTTCGCCTTACCATCCGGCACGGACGGACTTCTTAAGTTGTTTTTGAAGGAATCTATTTGCCTATTTCTAATTACCTCAATGGAAGCTTCCTGAAGATTGGCAGACGGCAAGCTAAAAGACAAAGCCTCGTTCCATACTGGATTATTGATTTCTTTTCTGTTAGTCTTCTTCTTTTTCACACGTTTACCATTCACTAGGAGGTATACTTTTACATACACGTCTGTAAAAATAATACACGATTTTAGTATTCGTTTCTGAGCAGAAACTATTCGGTCATCATGTCTCACGTATAATTTTTTAAATATAGCTAGTTAACTGTTTTTGCAATAAAGATGTAGATAATATAACTAGGCATATAATAGTAATAGGTATATTTACCTAGAGCATCCTTCCCTTCTTGTGGTGGTAGCAAATTCCTCGCCTTCAGCACAACGACTGTTAGTCGTTCCGCAGACGGTAGGTAAGACAGAGAGAGCAACAGTTCTTGCAACTCTTCAGGGGGGCGTCGCTCTCGGGACAGCTCGGCCCAAACTTCAGCTCCGCCGGCCACTTCTACGCGAGAGAGGGGGACCTTTGCGGAACCCATCACTTCGTTACGTGAGAACCTGGAATCAGTTACAATTTTTGATCCGTCACTAACATACATGATGAATACGTATTTAAAAGATGATATAGCTTGCTATTACTTTTAGTTTAAAGTAATGCTGTAAGTGAAGTTCCTGAATGGTCGAGACTTCACTGAATTTGTAAATATTTACTGAATAATGAATAAGTTTTACAAAGCATCGAAAATGTAAAGCGAGACTTGTAGCTATAACTTCTTTCCGCACAAGATAAAACGAGACAAGTTACTGGGGCAATTTGACAGAACACAATATGCTGTTATTGCCTACATAATTAAGATTTAAATAAATCACCTGTCATAATCAAAGACTTGCAACAGTAGAGTCTTGTCAGTAAGTTCATCATGCGACACTGGAAACTTAAAGTGCTGGTCAAAGAAGGGATTGGCTTCATTGCGATGCACCGGAGTTTGGCGTACTCTTGTGTCAACTTCGGGTAACAGACTCACTCGAACGTAGGGGTCGTTGAAGCCTCCTGCTTCATAACCTGCCAAGTCGTGAGCTGAAATTTTTGTTGGGTTTAAATTATTTCATTACATAAAGTACAGGACTGTATCTATGGCAGACGTTCATGCAAGATATAGCGAAATAAACTCATCAAGTGACAACAAGATAGTTTCTAATAAGCAATTCTTTTTGATTTTTTCCACAAATCAAACAAGATCGCTATGGTTAAATCGATATCGATAAATCTTGTGTTATTCTTATAAACTGGACAGCAAATAAACCGAGCCACCCGCTACCTAGGCACTCTAATTCGATTTTCTCAAAAACTAAAAAAACCTACAATTAACAAAGTTGTACCTACAGAAAATGCGTTTCATGGTGATTAAAATGAAAGGAAACTCATTGGGTTTAATCAATATTTCAGTGTTTATTAAGGATTTTACAAAGAAGAGTCGTTTTCCAGTCGTGACAATCGTTAGTAATGATAAAGTGAAAAAAAAAAAATTAAAGCCAAAAACAAAGATAAAATCAAAAAAAAGTTTTCGATCAATATTCCGTATTCCCTCCCCTTGCTCGGATAACTGCCAGCATCCTTGTATTCATCGACCTTACGAGCCTGACGATAAAATCTTGAGGAATTGTATTCCACTCCTCTTCAATTGCGATTCGCAGCTCTGGAAGCCTTGTTGGAGCAGGTACCCGGGCTCAAACCCGACGTTTCAGCTCATCCCATAAGTGTTCTATCGGATTCAAGTCCGGGCTTCGAGCTGGCCAGTCCATCGTACGAATGCTGACGTCGCGTAGATACTGGGTCACCACATGAGCAACATGAGGCCGTGCATTATCATGCATCAATTGCATATCCTGTCCGATATATCCTGCGTAAGGTACCACATGGTCTGCGAGGATTTCAGTAATGTAGCGATGAGAAGTCAGTCCACGTGTACGGCCCGTCGGTTCGATGAAAACTAACGCTGTATGTGCTGTTAACGAGATGCCGCCCCAGACCATTACAGATCCTCCTCCATAAGCAACAGTTTCCTCGATGCAACACTGAGCATAACGTTCTCCAGGGCGACGATATACTCTCTGACGTCGATCACTTCCATGTAGACTCACCCTGGTCTCATCAGTGAAGAGTACATTACTCCACTGCTCTAATGTCCAATCCCTATGCTCTCGAGCAAATTCAAGTCGTGCTCGACGGTGTGCTACCGTTAATGCTGGGCCTGTTGCAGCTCTTTTTGGGGTCAGGTTCCGTTCAGCAAGTCTCCTTCTGACGGTATCTGAACTTATGACCACTTGGCGTTCGTCACGCAGACTTTGTTGGACTTGAACTGCGTTGAGGTGGCGATTTCGCAGAACAGTAAGGTGGATATAACGATCATCTGCTGCTGATGTAGCCCTAGGTCTGCCCGTAACTGGACGGCGATCGAATGCTCCAGTCTCTAGGTATCGTCTGTAAACTCGTTGCACCGAAGATCTGCTGATTCGAAGCCTTCGAGCGACTTCACGTTGCGCAATGCCTGCTTGAAGTAATGCTACAGCTTGAGCTGCTTCCTGAGGTGTTGTATTAATTATTAATCGAAAAAAGTAGCAAAAACACACGCGTCTGAGCAAACGATGTACAAAAACTAAAGAAATGATAAAAAATATCCGACTACCCTCATTGTAGAGAAAAAGAACGCTAATTTCAAACTCTGGTGAAAACAGAGCAAGTCGTTAGCATTGTGTTTGTTGCTTGATTACAATGTGAGTGGACGGTACTTTCGAATTAATTTTTAGTCATTTTAATCACCATGAAACGCACTTTTGTAGGTATAACTTTGATAGTTGTAAGTTTTATACTTTTTGAGAAAATCGAATCAGAGTTCCTAGGTAGCGGGTGGCTCGGTTTATTTGCTGACCAGTGTATATTAGCCTATTGGTGTAAAGCTTCATCCAAAGCACTTACGTCGTATTTGAAGCAAAGAGTATAATATAAATTAGATCTACAACCTTTCCTTACCTTCAATAAGATGCACTTCCAAATCCGACCTATCAAAGTCATACTTCAGACGCAAATGTATTCTTCCAAGCGAGGGGCCCGCTCCCTCCAGTTCTATCACAAGTGGTGCTTCCCTCTTCGTATACAGATCTGGCTGGAGAGCACCCAAAGCACTAATGGTCGCACCAGCTCCAGGACTTAAAGGACCAAGGCCGCTGCTGCTTTCTACCAGAGAATTGCTTCGGTCTATTCGTCTGAAAAGATAATACAGATTCGTTACTTAGTATCGATACTAATATTATAAATGTGAAATTATGGATGGATAGATCTATGTTTGACATTCAATCACGCCAGAATTCTGGAATTGGATAAAATTTGTTACCGAGATACGTTATAGTCTCATTATGGTCAGGACATATGCTACTATCAGAACCGGAAAAATTGTTTATCAAAAGCAGGTAGTTTATAAGCACGAAAATTCAATGTTTGATTATACCTTTTAATGGAACTAGTCACACTAGCAGTTTAACTCGTTAAAAATAAGTGTAGCGATGAAGGGCATGTAGATAATACAGTATCCTTCCTATTTCTGTCTACACTTAGTTCTATCCACATCCGATTACATTCGCGCTTCTATAACATGGTAAAATACGGTAAAGTGGTAAAGTCTATAACATTCTATAACATGGTAAAGATCATTTGTCATCTACTGGTTTATGTAGATGCCAATTAATCTCAAAACTAATATAAATGTGTAAGTTGGTGAAGTTGTTTCTCGCTTACCCGTTAACGATGGTGGACGTTCATAAAAAAATAGATATAGACATATCAAACATTGACAGAGACAGACGCAATTATCTTCACTTCATTATTACCAAGCAAATCAGTCTTCCTGATAGACAGCTATGATAATTTAAATACAGATTAAAATTTGCTTAATAATAAACATTTAAGGTCAATTAGATCAATAAATGGGTGCGCTGCACAATTGAAATGAAATGAGATCTTTTATTCTGCTTGTCCTCTGGCTCTGATTGTCCTCTTCTGCAATACAAAAATAGCTTGTATATCAGAATGTATTTACAGGACTAATCACTTCTACACTCCTACAGCCTACACTCGGGCAGTCCCAGGAAAAATTAAACTGTTTTGGAAGCCGCAAAGAAATTAATCAGAAGAAATCAGAGAAGTGGGAAATATAATACTCGTATATGAAATAAAAATAATCAGGATATATATGTAGGTATAGATTTGCTAACGTTTAGAAATCTCAGTATCAAGCAGTCGCTAAAGGACTTAAGATACGCTCTTTAGTGTACCGTAGCCTATCACAGTCTAAAAACATCTTAGTAAAATGATATCTCGACAGTACGTTTATTTTTACGCGCGTCATAAACATCAAATGGAGCGCTAATGATGTCAATTTTACTGGTCTCTCAATCATTTTATTTCTCTCATGTAATAAAAAGAATTGAAATTATGCTATGAATGTTAATGTACGTTAGTTCTTAAGTAGAGTATCGTGGGGTAGCCCACAGCTATAAAATCAAATGAGCACAATATGGCTGAAAGCTTCTACGGGTCGCGGGTACACTGCTAGCACTTATATTATATTATTATATTGTCAGAGTGAAAGGATTTACCACGGAAACCCACATTCATATAGATGTGTAAGATAGAAGCATCTTCGTAAAAGAAGTGTTTTGAGTTCAGCTTTTAACCTTTATGACTGCCAGTCAAACATATAATTTTCTACTTCTGAGAAGAAGATGAAGATTATGTAGAGTTTATTGTAAAAATAATAATATAATTTGTTAATTCAAGTTTACAATTCCAATTCCAATTCATTTCAAGTGATAGGTACATAAGATTTACAAAAATTGCTCATAATTATTGTTGCTTCTATCTAAAAATCTAGAAAGAACTATGCAGTTCTTTCTAGATTTTTAGTCACCGTGATTTGTTAGCTGCAAAAACATATATTATCAAATTCATTCAAATATTATTCTGATGTTTAATTGTATAAAGATCTATCATTAATATCAGTATCTGTGACTGGTGGCTGATAAGGTATCCAAATTTCATAAAAAAACATTGTTGACCTTAAGGAAAGGTAAATAAATAAAGATTTAAAACAAGAAATAACATGCACATGTTCTTTATAGTGTAAGGGGCAAACGAATTATCCCCCCAAGAATGAGAGATAGAGGATTTTGGCATCCGGTAATCTTATTCACTCCGTTAAAGTAGAATTACTTACCACCAACTTTCTGTAAGGCTCCGTTATCAATCCGATCGAGCCTTTCCGTGTGTGTCTAAGCATGACCTATCAAAGATGGGTATATACGACACCCACTACCAGAAGGTTAATAGGCATAGGCCTTAATATAGAGTAGAGAAGTAAGTTTGTAATCTTACTTCTATTTAAAATATTTCTTACGTCTGCAATATGTTGTAGTTTTGAAGACAGTTTAGCTTCTCTAAGATTCACTTGTCACGAAATAAGATACAGAATACAAAGAATAATATATTTAAAATAATTAATGTTGAAATGCAGAGAAAGTGCAGAAAGCCAAGAACTTCCGTTAATAGTACCGGGTCCATCGCGTGATAAATTGGGCCAACACATGCGACTTCGTCAACGTCTGGGAATTGCGACCCAGGTATAGGTTTAGGGACTACTCCTTGCAACGCGTTGGCGCCCACCTCCACTGTCTGCTGTGTCACCCCTTCTATCTAACCCTATTTGATACGAGCCTAGCAATGCCGCTTTGGATATTTCTTCAAGAAAAGAGTTTACTGAAGCTCTTACCAATACAAGATCTTTAAGCAGGTTATAGAGGGATTTAGCTAGTATACCCCTCGCACCCACTTCCACGGCATACAACGCAACGACATAACCATTTTTAATTATTTCGTTGGTTAAGTCAAAGTACTTGTTTCTTTTTAAAGCGCAGTCTTTAGGGATGTTCGTTTCCCACGGCAACGTAAGTTCTACTAGTACTACACTCTTAATTGAAATTGCATAAAGAAATATATCTGGTCTGGACGCTGAGGCACAGATATCCTCCTGCATTCTGTAATGATTTTCATACGTGTTCACTAATAATGTCCAGTCACTGGTGGTATTTATAATTGATTACGGCTTTTGTGAACAAAAACGTATGGTCGTCGTAGTCCACTACTAAGTCATCCGTGCAGTCAAATAAATATAAAATTGATAAACACGCACCGCGGTTGACTTCACCAGAAGTGTTTCTAATGGTTAATATGTGTAATTAGCTTCGAATGTACCTGAATAGGTATATTTTTTCCAACAAAGCTTAGCGTAGTCCATTACCTTTAATGAAATAATTACACATTCCTCATTAGTTTAACCAAAACTAGATGATTACTGTATAATAAGCCAAGACATTACCAACAACAAAAATTCAAAGCTTGTATCAAATATTAGCTTAATTGACCCCTGTAAAATAACATGCACCAAACCAAAAATTCCTAAATATATTCCTAGTAATGGCAAGATAGCAACTTTTCTTTATCACTTTAGAACATAATAGGAAAATAATTTGTAAATAATTTTCGACATGTTTTCTTGAAAAATCTTTTGCAATAAATCTTTTTACACGCTTTATATTAGCTTCACTTGTATGTTTTTGTATGTTTGTTAGTAACCGACTCATATGGGCGTGATTTTGACTGACTTTAAACGGTCAGAATTCATTCAAACTTTGTAGATATATTGAGGACCGATGACAATACACTAATTTAAAAAAATAAAAAACCGGTCAGGTACGAGTCGAACTCCCAGAGTTTACGTAGATTTTCGCGAAAATTTGTAAGTACCAAAATTTATCTTAATTAACAACCTTTTTTTTATTTTTTGGAATTATTCCTTTATTTGTGATGCATATTTTATGAATATAATAGTTTGTGAAGAGTAAATAAAAAAATGATTTAAAAAACTAAAAAACACGCTTATTATAAAAAAACCAAACTAAAAAATAGAAAATATTTTTTTACTAAATTTGAAAAAAGCGTGGGGTGCTTTTTACTATTGACAACAGGCACCCAACTATTTTTATTATTTACTCTTCACAAACTATCTTCGACTTGCAGATATACGAATTAATCTTTCATTAAAACCAAGTGCGCTGTCTATTAGACTGCACGGATGGCGTAGTGGTCACCTCGCCGCTTCCGAGTGTTGTGGTTTTGACCCCCACATGGGACAACACTTTGTGTGATCCACAAATTATCGTTGCATGAATGTTTGTATAGTCCTCCTAGGTAATTAGTAATTAATCTGCATTGCTAGTCATGATGGTCGTCTTAAACAGTAAAACCTGCCATAATTGGATGCAAACATCACATCACATCAACAGCCTTTAATAGTCCACTGCTGGATGTTCACCTACTTTACATTTAATAAAATTTATACTTGGGTGCTTTTTCTTTTGGGCACGCCGTTAGCTCGGCGGTAAGACCCGTTATGAAGGATTGGATCGAGAGGCATCACAGAACCCTCTCATACCGGTTGACGCAGGTGATCACCGGGAAAGGATGCTTGGGAGATCCTCTTTGTCTCATCCGCAAGAAGCCGGGAGTACAAAGGGGTTCCCACACAGGAGGGGTCATCTACACGCCGTAGATGGCCCGAGGTACGTCGGAGTATCAGGGATTTTCTTCCTAGGGTACACCTGGTACCCGAGACGTGCGGTTTTCGGTCGGTTCGATTCCGACATAACCATTGTGCGGAATTCCCCTCAGATACCACCGGTGGGTGGTATCTGAGGGGATTGCCGCACAGAAAAAAGGTGCTTTTTTTTTTTATTAAAGTCCAGCATCCATTTAGTTGGGCAATTGGTCTCAAAGTTTTATTCACTTAAACACTTGGCTCGCCTCCTTAATTCAATGAGGTTTAAGGAAAAATTTACATTAAAACTTAACCTTATCAAACAATTACATTTAAACTGAAATAAATTTAAAATGCTCTTAGAAATGGTTTAGTTTTTTTCAAAGCTACCACGAAGTGTTTGCAGATTAAGATATCTTGAAATATAAATTATAGAAGGCAAGTTCAAGCATTATAACGAATTACTTTGGACCTCCTTAGTCAGTCAATTTTTTATAGCTTGTTCTCCTTTTTATACGCAATTGAAAACAGGAGCTGAACTGAACTGAAGAATGGTTTAAAAGATTACCGGTTGTAATCATAAAAAGTACATAGTGTACTACACACTATCGAGGCGAA